TATATATATATATATATATATATATATATATATATATATATATATATATATATAAATAATTAAGATTTTTTTTATTGTTTTTTTATTTTTTATTTTAATTTATTGCTACATCTTTTGTAGTTACCATTTACAGCAAAGCCCAAAACACTCTTCCTTACCTCATCAGCAAAGACAGAATAAGTACAGAAGGAAATGGTTGACATGTTGTGAACAGTAACACTCTTTACATAGTTCCACTTGTCTTGCATTAACCAAACCCTCAGCAAATGATAGTTCATTTATCCAAGGATGGCCTGTGTGGGTGTGGGATTTCCCAGCCTCAAATTGTGTCTCAGTCTGCCCCAGATTTTGATGTTTGAGCTTGTATCAATAATCTCTAGCTCTATACATTAGGATTCTATTCACCTGTTTTTATAATTCTCTAATTGAAATGCCAAGATGCGCATAAATTGTGAAAATGTGCATACATTTAAAAAAAAAATATGTAAACTAGAGCAAATAAATGAATAGAGTACTATGATTAGAACGCAAAAGTCTCAACAGAAGGTAATAGACTAAATAATATCTAAACAATGCTTTTATTATTATTATTATTATTATTCATACTACAAATTGTGACTATACAAGAAGAAGATTGTTTATATTCTGTTTTTTTAAATTCCTCACATGTGAATGATCAAATAATAAAACCCTTTTAGTTACTGGGCTCTTTTGAGATTGAAATACGCATGCAGTGCCCTCTAGTGGAGGATATTCTCTGTAAGCGTATCCACTGTTTTGTTATGTGTTTTTTTTTCTTTCTTGTCTGGTTGATTATCTGGTTTTCTGTTTTGTCAGGGAGGGCATGGCCATGGGCACAGTCACTTTCCTGCTGAACGCTATGCCAACTCTAATGGTGATTTGGAGGATGGTGTGATGGAGAAACTGCAGAACGGAGAGGCTGGAGGAGCAGCTTTACCCAGAGCAGAAGCAGACGGCAGAGGGGTTGGAGAAGACGACAAGATGCTGAGCACTGGACAAACTGTACAGGTGACAAAAAAACAACACTTTCCTTAAGGCAAGACACTGCCGGTAAATAACTTAAAACTAAATAATGGCCGTCACCATACTTATCACAGTTCATTTATTAATTGAAAGCATGTTTTGTATTACTAGTTTTCTGATCTTTTATTATGCAAATGACATGTGTCAATAAAGGTGTGCTCATTTGCAAACATTTTAGCACAAACATAAAAACATTGATTGAATGTCAGACTACAAATTTGGATTTATTTTTATTTTTGAGAATTTCTTTTACCACTCACATATTCCTTTGTAAAGACATTCAGAATCTAGATGATAGTAAAAATGAAGTCGGTGTATGACAAAAGTCTTGTCGTCAACCCCAGTTGTGAGGGCAACAAATAATAACTTCTTGTTGATCATTTTAGAAAAGTGGCAGATGGTAGATTTTTCAGATCGTCTGTTAAACTGCATCCCAATCATCACACATACTGCAGAAGACCCAAAAGTCTCACAGATTCAGGCAAGTTTGGTGAAGGAAAAATCATGGTTTGGGGTTACTTTCGGTATGTCGCTGCGACAGATCTGCAGAGTGGATGGCAACATCAACAGCCTGAGGTATCAAGACATTTGTGCTCCCCATTACATTACAAACCACAGGACAGGGCAAATTCTTCAGTGGATAGTGCTCATACTTCAGCCTTCACATCAGTACGGTACGGTTCGGGTCGGTACGGGTTTAAGCCTTTATCAGGCTTGCGTTTCCACTACCAAGGGTACCCTTTTGGTGGGCGTGGTGTATGACAGAGTTTCAGTCGACATCATTTTCGCTAGAGAAAATGTCTCCAATAAAGCTGCACAGGTCGTACACATATCATATGAAAAGCACTTCTCACAAAACAGATGCTTTACACACATAACTTTTCTATAAACAGGAGTTGATTATAACTGCAGATCAATGACGGTGCGAAATAGCTTACTGTAACGTCTATAATTATATTAAATAAATAAATAAATGAACATATATGAACACATACAGACCCTTACAGTCTCCGATATGTTACCAACTACAGAAGAACTACACAGAGCAGACATTTAGTCGTTAATTAGGTTCAAAACAACACAAAGTATAGCCTACAGTCAGTGAAAACCTCTCATCTGTGTCTGTAATCTTCAGCAGCACATGAAGCCTCTGTTAGAGAGTCATTCCATCATTCCAGTTCATATAAGTTCAAAAGGTGATAATAAAGATTAAAACAAGGTAGTTTGTTCACGTTTGCTGAAGAAATAACGGGCTGAACGCTGAAAGTGTCACAGAATGTGTCTCGCGTTTGTCAGCTTCTCACAGGATCGGGTTTCCAAAGCTTGTCAATAATCAAGTGCATGTTACTATTATCCGATCAAGAAGTTTGTTATTTCAGATAGAGACGCGCGGCGAACACAAGGAAGAAAGCGAAACCACTCGGGCTTCAGATTGGCTCGTAAAAACTACGCGGCACAGGGTAAATCTGCTCTTCTCCATGCCTTTGTGGCTCTTTATCAAGATGACGACAGGGTTTGTTTGAGCCCGGATTGACCATGGCTGCATATGTATTTATAATTCCGCTGTAATCTCTCGCTGTGTATTTCAAACATGGCGGGTCCTTTGTTTACATTCTGGCTTGTTGAGTCTACGAATGACGTATCTCTGTAAACCAATAGCGTTCAGCTGCGCATGTAGCTCCACCTTTTGGGACCCTTTCGAAAGGGTCCCGAAAAAGTGGTACGGTACGGTTTGGTTCGGTACGCCTTTTGACAGTGGAAACAGCCATAAAAGCGTACCAAACCTTACCGTACCGTACCACTCAGTGGAAACGGGGCAAAAGTTCCTGAAAGCAAAGATGGTCAAGCAGCTCCAGGATTGGCCAGCCCAGTCACCAGAGCTGAACATTATTGAGCATGTTTGTGGTAAATTGAAGTTGAAGGAGGAGGCATTGAAGATGAATCCAAAGAATCTTAATGAACTCTGGGAGTCCTGCAAGAAGAGTCATTTGAGTCATTGCACAGATGTATGGATGCAGTCCTCCAAGCTCATGAGTCATACACAATATTAATTATTTTTCCACTGCACCATGACTTTATATTCTATACTCTACATTATTTCTGTTAAGTGACAAGACTTTTGTCTAAGCAAAGTCAGATTTTGTCGTCCTATGTAAATTAATAAAAATCAAGACATGGTTGTATTTTGTTTTGGTAAATTAAGCATAATCTAGAGTCCTTTGCCTTTCATATAAGCCACTTCTGATACCAAATGACCAACTAGAAGTCAAGTTGTTATTTGTTGCTCCTAAAACTAATAGGCGACAAGAATTTGTCAGGTTGTGTATTTATATCCCAGTTCAGGAGAAAAATAACTCCTTTAAATGTATACTTTGTAACTAATTGAAGTGCAATAAAAGCACTTTTTACAGCACTCTTTCCATTAAACTGAAAAAATACTCCAGTGAAGAAAAAAAAAATAATTTTTTTGTCTTTCCTCAACCCTTTTGGATCACTGTACGTCATCATGAAATCAAAATTGATCATTTAAAATTTTTAAATGTACTTTTGTTAGTTTTAAATGCGATTAAATAATAGATGTTGTGCATTTCAGAGCGTATCAGACTGAATGAATATAGTGATTTAGTTGTCACCAATTACAAAGCCAGTCATGTTTTGAGCGTTGCCATAGAAACCTTTTTTCCTGAGTTTGAGGACGCGAGCAGCATCTCAGAGTTGTCATCTTGTAATTGCCATAATTTCAGCACAGCATGAATGAGGCATAATTAATCAGCACAATTCATCAGTGCATGTTTTAAGGGGGAAAAAAATTGTGTTTTCATTAAAATGCAACATCATCTCTCTCTAAAACACACCTTATGTGAGCTTTATTAAGCCTGTGGGAACTACAAAACACAAATTCTGATTTAATTCTGCATTATTAAACTCTTGTATTTAGTTGAAAGCAGTGTCATTACTCATTATAGCTTCAGAAGAGTTACAGAATCACTGTTTGGTGGGATAACCCTGCTTTTAATAACAACAAATTCAAACATTTGTTTTTCAGACCAGTCCTAAAAATGTCCAAAAAAAGGCTTTAAATAACAATATTTGTGTTTATTTTTGAAGAAATTTACGTGTAGGGTTCTATTTTAATGATCTAGGCACAAAGTCTAAAGCGCATGTTGCAAAAGCTTTAAGGGCATATCCATATCCACTTTTGCTGAAAAGTACGCTCTGGCCCTGATGCATAATCTAACAGGGTTGTGCTTATTCTCTTAATGAGTTATGGGTGTGTTTTGAACATAATGTGCATTAAATCAATTACAGTCTCATCTCTCATTCCCTTTAAGTGTCAGTTGCATTGCACCATGGCTCATTTGATAGGACTTTGTATATGAAAAACTGAACTCTTCACTAGTGAGAAAACGGTTAAACAGACCATCTGCAGCGCAAGGATGAAGAACGAGCCTCCTCCATTCTGCCTCTTTACCTTCTTTTTACTTTACTACTCTACTTTCGAGGATACAGAAATGATGGAAAGTCACTCCACTGAAGACATACATTAGCCTACATATTTAATTTAGTTTAAGCGCAAAGACTTGTTTTAAAACTTCTAAATTCAGATTTAATTACCAGCAAACTAATAAATGAACAATAATAATGAAGTGTGGTCAAAAAAACAAGTTATATTCAAACATGCGTCCTTTTCTTATGTCCTATATAGTGCCTCATACGTCTCCAAAACCCAACAGGTGGACAAACCTAAACTTGTTTTTAATAAAACAAATATAACATGCATATAAATAATAATATTAATAATAATAATAACATTATACAAAATCAAATTGTCAAGAATAAACTGAAAATCGTCACCAGTCTCCTAAAAATAGCTGCGCACCAACAATGCACCTTAACCCACAACAATGACCAGCACACCCATGTCCACAAAGTGGTGCAAATGGATTTGCTATTTAAACACCGTGGAGCAAAACATGAAAATTCCGGTTGCGTTGGTCTTTTAAAAAAAAATAGCGACAAACATATTTTGCGCCTTATTGCACCGGGTGTGTGATGGGGCCCTTTCCATAGTTGTATATGAAATGATAAACTAAAAATTAATTGAATAAATGTAGTAAATAAGAATTACATTTATTTAATGACATTTTAAAATGCAACATTAAATTACATTTTTTTTTTTAAATCTGTATCATGTCAGCATTTGTTTATTAAATAAATGTATATTTAATTATACATTATATTATTACATTTTATCTTATTTTTTATTATACCATCCAAATGCACAAAAAACACCCAAAATATTAGATTATTTTATTAATTCATTCATTCATTTTCTTTTCGGCTTGGTCCCTTTATTAACCTGAGGTTGCCACAGTGGAATGAACTACCAACTGATCCAGCATATGTTTTATGCAACGGATGCCCTTCCAGCTGCAACCCATCTCTGGGAAACATCCATACACACTCATTCACACTTATACATACAGACAATTTAGCCTACCCAATTCACCCAAACCAGAACACCCGGAGGAAACCCATGTGAATGCAAGGAGAACATGCAAACTTCACACACATTAATAGGCGCGTTGCCTATTAATATCTTATTTAATTTATTTAAATCGAAATTAACCTAGTTACAGTAACTGTCATAATTTAACCATACAGCAAGCAACACCAGCAGTCACTGAACCACAATATAACTGGATCACATCGAAACACTGCGCCCTCTCAATAAACACTGCACTTATTGTTGTGTAGATTACACTACCTGTTAGAGTATGTTTCATTTTCGAAATGGGGTATAAATTCATCCTATTTGGCATTTTTAATTCTTTTGAACACAAGTAGCTGTTGCTTGTCAATCAGACCACGATTCCATCTTTGTTTTTGCTGTTAATTGCAGAACAAAATGATCGATAAAAGTGTCATGATAAACCACTGAGTTTAACTGCAGGCGTTGTGTGATGCGGGTACACGCGAAGGGGAGACAGATTTGTCCAGGAGTCAGATTTTGATACAACTTTCTTTCACCTTTTGCGGGTTGGCGCCATGGACTGGTCTGAATAGAGTAGGAGCACACAGTTATGTTTTGTTAAATAAGTTACATGTAAAATTTATGTTTTAAAATCATCTAAATTTTGTCAACCTGCCAATGCCATTTTTTACCCGCACAATCAAATGGTCTACATGTACAGCTGATGTTTTTCAGCCAATAATAAACTTCTGGTGAACTACAGTATGTGACTATTTTCAATTTCACAAGGTTTCTTTTACAGCATTGATGTTGTAATGTAACTCAATTATAATCAGTTAAATACACTTAAGCATCCATTTGGTGGTTAAAGCGAATAAAGAGATGGAAAAAAAGCAGGCTAATGCAAAAACTCCATTGAAAATACTGGGGTAAAATTAATTTCCATATTTTAAAGACATGCCATATATATATATATATATATATATATATATATATATATATATATATATATATATATATATATATATATATATATATATATATATATATATATATATATATATATATATATATATATATATATATATATATATATATATATATATATATATATATATATATATATATATATATATATATATATATATATATATATATATATATATATATATATATATATATATATATATATATATATATATATATATATATATATATATATATATATATATATATATATATATATATATATATATATATATATATATATATATATATATATATATATATATATATATATATATATATATATATATATATATATATATATATATATATATATATATATATA